TTTTCCTACATGTAGATTATGATTTGTAGTTAAGTTTAGACTATAAAAACGCTTGATTTGGTTAAAAATTGAACGAGTTACAAGCCCCGCAAAGAAGGATGTCAAATCAGAACTTTTTTTATGTTTCAGCAATTAAATGTAATCTGACTTTGTTGTTCAAATGTACATAACTCACTCAATTTAACTTTTTTTGACCTGAATCTTTTTCTTACATGTAGATTAGAATTTTTAGTTAAGTTTAGACTATAAAAACGCTTGATTTGGTTAAAAATTGAATGAGTTACAAGCCCCGCAAAGAAGGGTGTCAAATCAGAATTTTTTTTATGTTTCAGCAATTAAATGTTATCTGATTTTGTTGTTCAAATGTGCATAACTCACTCAATTTAACTTTTTTTGACCTGAATCTTTTTCCTACATGTATATTAGGATTTGTAGTTAAGTTTAGACTATAAAAATGTTTGATTTGGTTAGAAATTGAATGAGTTACATGACCTGCAAGGAAGGGTGTCAAATCAAAATTTTTTTATGTTACAGCAATTAAAAGTAATCTGACTTTGTTGTTCAAATGTGCATAAGTCACTCAATTTAAGTTTTTTTGACCTGAATCTTTTTCCTACACGTATTTTAGGTTTTGTAGTTAAGTTTAGACTATAAAAACGCTTGATTTGGTTAAAATTTGAATGAGTTACAAGCCTCGCAAGGAAGCGTGTCAAATCATACCGGTTCCAAAACCGAAAACCGGCAAAAACCGGAGCCGGAACCGGAACCGGTAGAACCGCCGGGCCAGTTCGGTTCTTGATTTTGGACGAAGCCGGTTCCCGGTTCGGGTCTGGGTCGGGCCGGTTCCGGCCGGTTCGGTCCGTTTGCTCATGCCTACCTCGGGCTATAGAGTCGAAATCATAGATTTTGGAAAGTGATCGCAATCATTATCCTAGAACTTATCCAAGTATATTGATATTATTATACGCAAAATCTAACAAACCTGAGATTATTTTTTATTTTTTTCATACTCTCTCCCACCCTAAATGGATATCTTATCAATTGAAACTCACCGTGACCACATTTATACATTGCATCTCGATATTATGTTTAATCTAACTTGTAAACAATTTGATATATTTCCATGTTGGAGAAAAGGTCACCAAGTACTTATCTTAGGAGGTTAAAGTCATGTTAACCTCAATCTCCAAGTTTCAACTTGTTTTTCCTTTAGTTCCAAATATTTCATAAGTTTAACTACATATATATGAATCATAACTTAAACATTTGGTAAAATTAGCAACTTAGGCACAAAACCAATTCACTATCATAACATTTCCCCCTTTTTGAAACATTAACATGTGTTTAGAATTCAACCATGAAGTTACTTCTTGACAAATTTCGTACATTTCTTCCAACACTACCATTCTATGTTAATAACTTAACACTAATCTAGTTCTTGTCCCTTTAATATTACTTTTCAATGTTGTAATCGCACATTTTAAGGGATAAGGCACCAAAGGGTTTTTAGCCCACCAGTATAGTATCTGTTGAAAGATACATTCAGCCATAGGTTGAAGGTTCAAGACAAAAAGAGGAGTTTATGAGTACATATGGAGTGTATGAGTTTGTTGTTCTAAAAAGGTGCTAAGGTGCTTCACAACTAAGTTTGTCTTGTAGAAAGTTATTTTTAATAAAAAAATATTCAAATTAATTCCATGATTCAAGTTTACTTCCATTTATCCAACTCCCATTCCAAATTCATAAGCCTGGATATTAAACTAAACTTGCAACATGCTAATTATACAACATATACAAATTAAATCCATTAAAAACTGAGGTAATTAATTGTTACATATAATTATTGAATTAGATGGAAAAAACCACATGATTTGATATTGGATCATCCTTGAATTGAAATTATACACACTTGAACACCAATAACACACATCATCCTTTAATTGCAATTACACACACTTGAACACCAAGAACACACACACAAAAGCTCCCAAATGGGATCAAAGGTTGAGACGTGTTGTTAGATGCATTTTATGCATCCTTTTTGCATGCTTGTTTATCCATTTTTCATAGTATTTTATGCATAAACTTTTGCAATCGACAACTCGTGTATTTCATGGAAAGCCTCATACCACTCACTATTTGATTTAATTTAAAGATCCATTGGATTGGAAGTAAGCTTGGAGGACTCATGGAGGCTTGTAGCAAGATTGAAGCTAGATTATGTTGATGGGAAGTTGGACATTGGATAGGCTTTGAAAGCAAAAAGCACAAAGATTAAAGAAACATGAATTGTGTAACCTAATACACGTTAGAAATATTTTACAAAGTTGGACATTGGATGGGATTTGAAAGCAAAAATCACAAAGGAGGAATGAATATTTCTGAGAATATTTTACATAAAACTTAATGCAATCTTTAATCTTAATTCCAAAAGCTTGTTTAGATTAGGTTAGAAATATTAATTTTAATTCAAAGAGCTTGTTTTGATTAGAAAACTTGGTAAATAAAATATATTAGACCTTGCTAGTATCTTTCAGTACCAACTTAGATAAAGCGATACTTGATACAGCTTTCAAATTACTCTGCATAATTAGAAGAGTCATAACTAAATCACTTTTACCTATGAACTTTTTTAAAAATATTTATGGTATTTTTTTCCTGTTTTTAGTTGTTAAACAAAAACCCCTTTTATTTAATTGTTTGGATACATATATCTTCCGCAAAGAGACATATACCACTAGCACGTGTCCTTTAGGGTCGACTCTGTTGGCCTTGTAATACACTTTTGTGCAACAACCTGTGTTTTTTATTACCCATTTTATTTGTTGGGTCTAACATCCCAACACGTGTAGTCTCGCCTAAGGCTAAAAATTCACCCAAAATTACTTACATGTCGTGAGTGGGCCTTAGACGCTTTTATGCGTTCACACAAAGCAGGAGGGGCTAGGTCACGCGGTCCACACATAAGAGCCTCCATCTCTCTCTATTGGTAAATGTTCGGTAAACACAAATTTTCAATTCCACTCAAACGCTTATGTAGGGAAATTAGCAAATTTATTTAATGATTTTCTTAGTCTTTTGCAAATCAATTGGGATGTTGCTACTTTTCCGTATTTTTCTGATTGTAATGATTTCTATGAAGAGCCTCGTCCAATGTTCTAACAAATTCTTTGATTACAAGTTGATCGACCAATTTGAATGGTGAGTAATTCTTAACATTTCATACCTCTAAAAAGATTACCAAAAAGAGATATATTGCATATCAAAAGTTTTTTAAACCAAAAAGGAAAGTTATTGGAGAATATCTTTCAAGCCAAAGTTTTTACAATGATCTTGTTAGTTAACAAACTTTTATCAATATTTCTTTTAATTGTTGTGTGGGTTTTATATGTTTTCAACAAATTATAACTGACACAATATAAAAAGCAAATTTAAAAGTTCTTATGTTGTAAAGAAATAATAAGTTATTTATCTTTGTTATAAAAACCCCACTAAAAAGGGTTCCGATGCTATTAATCTTAGGACAATCAAAAAGAACTTCAAATTGGTACGTGGTTAGGTCCACGATTCGGAAATTTGGTAGATCCATAAGCATAAGGTGTACGAGTTTTAGTTCATAAACCAACTATTCAGTCAATAGAAAAAAAAACGTCAACAGCAGGATTCGAACCTGCGCAGGCAAAGCCCAACAGATTTCGAGTCTGTCTCCTTAACCACTCGGACATATTGACCAATTTGGATTATTTCTAAGCTTTGTCTATAATAAATACAATCTATTTTAACGAATGTATAAGATAATGAAACTGATAGTAAGTTTGTTTCACTTTATTGGTTAGATTTTATATAAAATAATGAAAATCTGAAAAATCAAAATTGTGATATATGGGGGCCATCATCTCCCGAATCTTGACTTCAATTCATTGATCAATGAACATATAGTAAAATTCTTGGATCAATCATAACTTGGGTATAACTATGACCTTACCACAATTATCTCAAGTTAACATTTCTTTACATTTGTTATCTATATATACATATGTTACACACTAACTTGCAATGAACAACAACTAATCCTCCTGATGACTAGAGCTTCTTATGCTCTAGGATTTCAATTTCAGGTGTCAAATTTCCATCATTCGAATGCGGGTTTCCGTGTATTTCTAAAAAACCGCTTAGTTATTGTTGTTAATGTTATCATCAGTAGTATTCAAGACTCGCAAAGCCGATTCATAAGCCGTGAAAATAGCCCCGTTCACAATAAAAGCTCGACATACCGTACTTCCAAATCCACGAATCAACACACCCATACCATCTTTTCTTACACTCTTCCGAAAACAATCTACAATTCCATTATACTTCACCGGAGAACTCGGTGTTTGAGCTTGAAGTCTAGTTTTAACCACATCTACGGGATAACAACATAGCCAACTAGCAACTCCGGCGAGACCTCCGGCAAAAATCATTGTTTTGAAGCTCTCTTGACTACTTTTCCGGCAGCCCGGGTGGAATTTCTCTCTCGCGTATTCGTATGACCAAAAATAGACACCGTATGAAGGTGAGTCTCTTATGATCGTGATGGTTAACCCTCGGAATAGACCTTTCCAGCCTTCGGTTCTCATGATGTTTTTAGCGACGCTTAGTGGACCACTTTCTGATTGTTCGTGTAGTTGTAGTCGGATTTTTACTAGTTCAATAGGAGTTACCACGAAGCTTTGTATGGCACCGGCTCCAGTGCCTCCTAATGCAACACTTCCATATGAAGGAGGTACTGCGGGGGATCTATAGGAGTCCAATGCTCGCGACAGGGTGGCATTGCTTTGAAAGACCACTGCATTCTGCATTTTAAAGATTGTTATTCGAAAATTTTCAAGTCGTCAAATATGACAAGTATGATCGGTTAGACTGCATTTCTTATATGTGAGACAGTACATGACATGACATGATATGACATGAAAGTACAACACATTAAAACTAAATTGGGACTAATTTGATGTAAATGGGATTGCAAAAAGAAAGTTCACCCAAAAAGGTACTAATCCACTTTCGTTATGAATCTAAAATATTTGTATCAATAAGGTCACGAATGTTTCAATGTGTGTTCAAACTTCAAAGTGATTGTTGGAAAAATAACTTCGTATATGTTATTCACATAATTAGTTTATTCAATCTTAGAATAAGTAGATAATCTAACATAACTTCGTATATGTTATTAAAACTTGATGCTTTTGGAAAAATTTGTGAATCTTAATCACTTTTATCAAACACTTAAAACTAATTATAACTCACTTTAGAGTTTAGACACACATTTAAGCACCCTTTAATTAGAAGTTTAGAACTCCCCCAAAGCATGAAATTAGTAAAGATGGTGAATCCACTTATGGATTTTCAACTTGTTCACGTGTTTGAGATTTTGCAAGAACATTGTAGATGTTGTTTCCGAATCTTTTATTGAAAAGATTAGATTAGATGTGTATTTATGCAACAATATTGTACTTTCTTAAATTTATGCAACAAAGTTGCTTTTTATACAACATATGCAATAAACGTTCTACTTAAATAGGTTAACACATGATTACATAATCCATGTAAATGGTAAATATATAAAACATTTAATCAATATAATTTCATCTGGTAACGGGTTCCAAATTACAATGTTGCATATCTTGGTTGGTAGAATGGTACTAGAACGAAACGTGGTTGTATATTTCGTTTAAAACACCATTTTGTTGCTAGAATTGAAAGAAATAAACAAACAAACAAACATTGTCTCATGGTATTTAACAGACTACATATGAAATAGCTCATGAAATATGAAAATGGGGGAAATGGAAATGGAAATACAAAACCTGAAAGGTAACAGTGGCAAGAGGCGCACCCATGCCTCTAAAAAGGGCAAGTGGGCCTTCTTTAGCTGCAATATTTTTGAGGATGCTAAACGCAGAACCCACCTCTTGACAGTTTTGTTGTCTGACTCTAACGGTGTCAAGAGGGTATCCGGCGATAATTCCGGCGATTCCCCCAAATCCACCGGCCAGAAACTCTTTGCCCCAACTGCTTGCAAGAAACTCCGGCCAAAAATCCATCTACCGAATCTTCTATAGGTACAATATATATACACATACATTCAAGAAATCAGGCTCGATTATACAACACAAAAAATGTCAACGATGTATGTAATCAATAAACCTCCATTCGGGTTTGCCCTGCTCAACTAATGCGAATCCTAATGGAAGGACGATGTGGAAACTATATAGCTTGGTGTGGTTTTCCGAGCATTTAGGAACTTTTTTATATGAAAAATGTAAGAAATATATTAGAAATTGAATTATGGGCACAATTTGTTTGCTTTATGTTATGAAATAAAGAGAGAGAAGCTAAGAAAGTGGGTGTTTGTAGATGTGGGGGACTCCGAAAGAAAAGCCTGCCCATACACCAAGAAGTGGCTTGTAAATTGTAATAAACATAAGGTAAAAAGGAAATAAAAATAAGTCAAAATGGTTGCAAACTTGGGTCATAGCATGAGGTTTTGGATTAGGTTGTAAATTTCGATTACTTCTGTAACGAGTTCAAATAATTTTGAGTTGAAGTGAATAGGCTTTAATAAGAGGCGAAACTTATTAGGTCGTGAGTAGGGATGAGGGATGAGAAATTGGCCCAAAAACCCGAACCGAACCGAACCGTATTAGGCCCGAATAAGCAATTCGATTCAGGTTTCGGGTATCTATATTATGTTTATTCGGTTCTCGGGTTACCCAAATAAGAGTTTATTTGGTTCTAAATACCCGACCCGAATAAGCATTCCTCGTCCCCTTTCTCTTATCAACAGAAATCAAAATCATGATTTACACTTCTGTCCTCGTCGTTCATAACAAAAAAAAACCCTATGTTTGTTCTCGTCGTTTTAAAATCGACCAATCTTCTCAACTATTTCCAAACTCGAAATCACTTTTGTCGATCCTTTCTCTTGTTTCAGACTTTCAAAAATCGACACTTCCTATTGTCTTTAAGGATTCACAAATTCTTACTTTGTCTAGTCATGAAAAATTAGGCTCCAACTCAAGAAACTCAAGTAAGAAATTAATTATCATTATTTTAATCTACTATGTAAATGCTATTCTTTCAATATGTTATTGTGTTATGTTAGTCTTTGAATATTTTACGTTGATTTATAAAAGTACATTGTTATTCTATTATTCGGGTTATAGAATCCTAATACGGTGTATTTAGTTTTTTCGGTTATATTAGGTCCTTAATCATCTTGTAAGTGTTATTCGGGTTATTCGGGTAATAACCGAACCGAACTGATTAATACTCGAACCGAACCGAACCCGTATTGGTTAATCGGTTCGGTTTTCGGTTCATGCAATTACCCTTATTTGGTTTTCAGTTTATTCGGGTTCGGGTCGGTTCGGTCCGGTTCCGACCCGAATAACATCTCTAGTCGTGAAGTACACATGCATTAGCGGATCTAGCATCTAATAAGGGAAGCACCATACCAGCTTTGGTGTACTCCTAACACAAACGTAGAGAGAAGAAATGAGTGAGACGCAAGATATAGATAGAGAGAGTGTGTGTGTGTGTGTGTGTACACTGTCGCCTCTCATAGTGCAAACCACAACAACCAATGGTTGTGGTGCCATGTAAGCACAACGCCACCCCCAGGGTAATGTGAACATTCGTTGTCCTTCTCTAGCTCATAACCACGAGACTTTAGGTATAGGTATACCTGATGGCCTTAACTGAGATGTGGGTTGACACACATTAAAATGAGTTGTGTTGACCTGTGTTTTTTTTGGTTTAATTATTATTTAATTATGAGAAAAAAAATATAGTAGGTATATATAATGATGAGAATTGTATTTTATGTACTCCAAGACTGACTTTTAATTCAAAACGAGCTCTTACTTAAGAGATAATTTTCCCGGTATTTGCTTTTTGGAAAAAATAAGGTGTTATTTGTTTTTTAAAAGGTAAAAGATCTACAGATTGCGGACCACATCTGCAGATATCTACAGAAAAAGAGGTCAGTCAAACGTCTGTACTCTGCAAGAAGAAGATTGTTTGATTTTAAAGTTTGCACGTTCTTAAAATATAATGAAATTTAAAAAAACTGGTTTTTTAAACTTAAAAAAATTAACACTAAAATTTAAATAATTATAGTTTTATAATACTGAATAAAGAACTCATCATTCAAACCATCTTTCCTTATAAAATTATGAAATACAAAACATGTAATGATAATATTTCTTTGTAAAAGGATTTTCTAGAAAAATTATAAAAAGTATAACTTGCAAAATTTGATAAAAAACATTCATAAAACTAGTTTTTTCTAAGTTTATAACATAGCAAGGAATAACGATTATAACTTTTTGTGGATCTAATTAAAAAATACTTAAAATATTGTGTCTTTAATAAAATCATCCAAACTTTCGAAGAAACCACACTAAAAAGTGATAACTTTCAAAATTTAACGTTGTGTGTTTTTTTCTCAACCTAACCATGTTTTTTAAGCCTAGAAGATGTGAGAGGTGATTGGACCATGTCTGTTCCAAAAAAAGTTGGCATGTCGCATGCAAGTTTGTAGTTTTCTAAAGTGCAAGAAGAAATGTTTGCAGCATAAAAGGTCTTTTGACACACAAAAA